ATTAAAAAGAAAGGGAGAGAAAAGAAAAATATCGTGCCAATATTTTCTATGCAGATGTTTGGTTAACATATAGATCATAACATTTGTGTGTAAGTAACTGGAAGAAAATTTAGCGTTGGAGACAGCCCTTGAAAACTTCCAGGAACTGTTAAAGAGAAAGACAGTCTGATTAAAAGTGTGCTTCTCTGTATCTACCTATTCTGTAAAGGGCCAGAAGGATTCAGTTATGAACGCATGTATGAGAACCCTGCAGTAACAAGCATAGCAAAAGTCTCATACTGGTGAATGGTGTTAACACCAGTCTTAAGAGGATTATTGCCACTTTCCGGTAAATTGGCTGAGACCACCCAAGAAGGTAAACAGTGATGATTCAGGGAAAGAGACAAAGGAGGGAATACAGGGCAGTTAGAGGAACCCAGTTTTACTTAGCAGATAACCAGATCCTTGCGAGGGAATCTGTGAATCAAACCTTTCACGACACCCTTTGATGCTTTTATTTAATAGCCTTCATTTGCATTCATCATAAGCAGGAGATAAGCCAGTACATCCCTGAGCTGAGTTTTTGGTCTAAACTGGTCATTCATTGGTCATGAAATAATCTGTCCAAAGCCTACAAAATGGAATTTAGAAAGATAAAAAAAAAACAAAAACAAAAAACAAGTTTTTAGACAGCTTATGATTGAAGTTTAGTGATGTGGAGCAAGACACTCTTTAAAATTATTTTAATTGAAAGGCAGATTTACAGAGCTAGAGGGAGAGACAGAAAGATCTTTCATCTGCTGGTTCATTCCCAGAGTGGCTGCAACAGGCAGAGCTGAGCTGATCAGGAGCTAGGAGCTTTTTCTGTGTTTCCCAGGCAGTTGCAGGGTCACAAGGCTTTGGGTTTTCCCAGGCCTTGACCAGGTAGCTGGAAAGGAAGTGGAGCAGCCAGGACATGAACCGATGTCAGCACTTGGAGGCAGAGGATTAGCCAATTGAGACAACACGCTGGCCCCTGAACAGGACACTATCAATGTGGACAGTTAGGAAACTTGTGCATAGATGTCCGTGTGAATTACATGAGGAATTTGGTAAAATGTTGATCCTAATTTGTAGATTTGGGTAAGAAGTTAGATTCTGTATTTCTGAAAATCTTGAGAGGCTGATGCTGTTTGTTCCCAAACCACTTTGGCCAACAAGGACCCACGTAGATCCATTTGGTAGGTGTTAGTAGCCACCCATGGTGGGATGTAGACGACGGCTGCCAGGTGACAATGAAAGTTGTCCCTGAGCAAGCTCTGTCACACCCAAATATTTGTTAGTCATCTGAAATTCGGACCACTAGGAATCCAATGCAGCACTCCCGAACATTTTGGAATCCAGCCTAGGGCACCATTTCTAAAGATGGAGGGCCTGCTAGATTCTTCTTAAATCCTGTAAATGTAAGGGTGGGAGTATTTGTAAACCTTTTTCAACAGTCCTCCTAGTTTGCGAGCCAGTAATACCAACACAAGCCCAGCTAGCATTAATTAGGATAATTAATGAAACCCCTGGTGTAATAGAAGCTAAATATAACTGAGAAACTTATTACTGTGGCCACCTTTAGAGTGAGCTTTTTTGATGAATTGCTAGCCAGCCACCCCTGGAGTGTGCATTCCTGATTAAGGCAACTGACCGTTGTCACGGTGTAACTTTAGCTAACAAATACATACATCATATTGTACTTTCCACGTGAGGGTTTTTCAAACTCTCAAATTTACTTTATTAAAGCATAACTTAAACACCTTTAAATTCTTCTTCTTTTTTTAATTCTAAAGGCAAAGCAATAGCATCGTGGAGATAGAGAAACGGATCCTCCTCCATCTGCTGGTTCAATTCCCAAAGGACCCACAGCCAGGGCTGGGCCAGCCTGAAGCTCTGACTGGGTCTCCCATGTGGGTGGCAGGGACCCAAGAACTTGGGCCATCATCCTTTGTCTCCCAGGGTGTGTATTAGCAGGAAGCTAGATTGGAAGCAGAGGCCCTGGGGCTTACACCAGGTATTCAGGATGGGATGTGGGCATCCTAAGGGGCAGCTGAACATGCTGCACCAAAATGCTAACCCAGATCTTGACTATTCACATACACTCCTGTGGTTACACGGAGAAAGAAGATGCAACCTGGGTTCTTACACCCATGAAAGAACAATGCCTTAGGGACAAATTGGTGGGCAAAGCAAGATTTATTAAAGACAGAAACCTCTTGCCACAGTAATCACCAGTAGTGACTCTGAGAGAGAACCTTGAGGGTTGAGTCTTCTTGCAGCTTTGGGGAGAAAAGAACAGCAGCTAACAGTGGGGACAAAACTCATTAGGCCCAGAACTGTAATCTAGCTTGCTTAAAGCAAAAACCATTTGGAAAAGTGTGATTGGAAACTTCTTCCTTTTCCCTTGATAATTGCCCTGAAGGGCAGAGTTGCTGCTTCCTGGCTGTTCTGAGGGGTGGGGGTGGGGGGGAGATCACAGGCCAAGGGCAACTCCTCCTAATGGCCTGTTAGCTGCTATTCTCCTGATGAAACTAGAATGCAGGTGGTATTTTGGTTTTCCAAAGACAGCTTCTGGCGAGAAAGTGGCTTCTTCCACCCTTTTCATGTTAGGTGGGATCTAATTGTAGCTACAAGTTAGTTCCTTTAACTCCTTACAATGTAATTACCTTATCAACCAACTTAGGGAACATTTCCATAGGGAATATTTGTGTGCCTTTGAGATCAGTTACCTTAAGCCTACCCTAAGCTACCATCTAAATTCACTAAAAGGTGAGTTTGTTTTAGGATTTCATGCAAGCAAACCAAATACTCTATAGTGTTGTGTGTGTGTGTGTGTGTTTAAGATTTATTTTTATTGCAAAGTCAGATGTACAGAGAGGAGCAGAGACAGAAAGGTTTTCCGTCCAATGATTCACTTCCCAAGTGACCACAACGGCTCATGCTGGGCCGATCTGAAGCCAGGAGCCAGGAGCTCTCCCACATGGGTGCAGGGTCCCAAGGCTTTGGGCCATCCTTGACCGCTTTCCCAGGCCATGAGCAGGGAGCTGGATGGGAAGTGGGGCTGCTGGGATTAGAACCGGTGCCCATATGGGATCCTGGTGCGTTCAAGGTGAGGACTTTAGCCACTAGGCCACCACGCTGGGCCCCTCTATGGTGTTTGTTTTTTTTTTTTAACATTGATTTACATTGTTGTATTATAAGTATTAGCTCCCATTATTGTGGAGTAACAGGCTGTAGTAGTAACAGGCTAGTGTTCTATTATGCATGTATGTGTTATAAACATCTCCATATCTTTTTGTGACTATATTTTTACTACTTTGGGGGAAATATGAAGGAATAGACTACTTGCATCGTAAGAAAGATGTATGTTCAACTTCATAAGAATCTTCCAAATTGGTTATTGCAACTTCGCTGTTTCACAATTCCGTTAATAATGTGTGAGTTCCATGTGCACTGTGTCTTCAGCAATATATGAGTTTGCCAGTTCTTTGTTTAATTCTGCAGATAGTTGCAATTGTGGATATTGTTTTCTTCTTTCTACTGTAAGTGTAGGCTGTTTAGTCTCTTCCAAGACCATAAAGCTAATCTTGTTGACCTAAGTGACTTGCATACAGATTAAATTAAATTGCCATTTCCTAAACCCCTATTAGAATTAGTTTTGTAAAAAAAAATAGATTTAGTTTTGTGAGTGTGGTAGTTAGTCATGTTTGGCAGTATGCTTTTTTCTTTCTTTTATTCTTTTTTAATTTATTCATTCAGTCTGTCAATCAGAACTAGAGTCAGATTAGGCCAGTTTTTTTTTTTTTTAAGAGAATAGCTGTATATTGAAATGCTGGGAAAAACAGAGGGAAGTAGGTGATGGGGTTTTTATCTTCAAGGAGATTTTTTTTTGGAGCTAAATTCCTGAAACATATATACACAAGAATGCTAGCAAAGAAAAATGTGGCCCAGCCTATAGCAAGGCTTGTGTATTGTGTAGATTTGAATAAGGGTACCATCTAAATATAGTTGCCTGCCAGATAGCTTGCTAGACAGGTGACTGTAGAAACCACAGTAGCATAAATTGTCCACTTGTGATTCCATGTTGAAAATTAGAATGATTGCACCTGAGAATATAAAGAATATAAAATTACAGTTATTAGGAATAAGTCTATGGCATAAAGACTATAGCTAAAAATTATATATTGTATTGCAAAATGCTAAGAAAGTTAATGTTAAGTGTTCTCAGCTCAAAAATGATAAGTATGAAGCAATGCACATGTGGTAATTAGCTAGATTTATTCATTTGATAATGCATATAAATGTCAAAATATCTTGTACCTGAACTATATAACACATTGTCAATTTAAAAAAAAAGATGAAAATATTTATTTAAATTCAAATTATAGCTTACCATGCATTTCGTATATACAGGCATACACATATTTTGGACATAAAAAAATAAAATGAAACTCTTAACACTGTATATCTTTGAATTGTGGAATTATGAGTGATTTGTTTACTCAGCTTTATATTTTCCTAGTTTCTCACTGAGAGCATGTATTGGTGTTTGTAACCAGAAGATGTGTTGCCACTTGACCATCTGCATAGCTATTAATATGATTTCAGTATTATTATCAGTATGATCAATTATTCCTTGTTCTCTTTCCTCTGGTGCAGTGACGACAATACAGTAGACCCAGATCTGGGGTGGGGGGGCGGGGAAAGGTGTCTGTCCTGCTTTATCCCCTTGGGGACAAAGACCAGATGAATGTCCAGCAGTGGCTGCCACTGTCCTCCTTCTGGGACTTAGCTCTCCTGAATGTCCCAGGGAGAAGGAAATCTTTGCTTTTCCCCAACATCAACGGAATTCCACCTCTCAAATCTTGGAGCATAGATGCAAGATTTTGTCCTAGCCTATTTTTTGTGGTGGCTGTGGTTGGCAAATCATTAGGGGCTTTTGTGGGTGCTTCCTGATGAAATAACAAATGATCTTTGTTTGCCCCTTTTTTTCTCAGCTGACCTGAATAATGTCCGATTCTCAGCATACAGGACTGCCATGAAACTCCGAAGACTCCAGAAGGCCCTTTGCTGTAAGTCTCAACCTATGCATAAATGCCTGCATAATCTCTGTTTGCTTATTTAAAAAAAAAAAAAAGAGGGAGTTTGAGGACATCTTGGCTTGGTGAGGGCAGAAATAGCCGACAGAAGCCCTGTTGTACCATATGTTTCATTCTCTTAATGTATCTTTGGTGTGGTATTTACCGAAAGTGTTTTGTTATTTTGTTCGGAGCATTCCTGTTAGTGTTTCTCAGCTACTGAAACTAAATTGATAAGGATACTTTTCGTTTTTCTAATAGCATTGGTGTGCACAATTAAAATAACGAACCTTGGGTTATGTCCTCTCCAGTGCATCTGTCTCTTCATCTTAGGAAATATGCTTAGTGTGAGGAGCCTGTGATGTGGAGTGGCATCCAAGCCGGAGTGGAGACATGTGGTTTCTTAGGTTGAATGCCAGTGTGCAGATGAATGTGCTGTGATAGGGGAAAGATGATTCTACTGCTTTTCTCTTTTCTTTTTTACAGCCTACAAATTAGGCAAGTCTCTAAAACATTACATAGCTGCAACTTTGCATCAGACTTTCTCCATTATCAGCCAGCGAATTGCAGTCATGCTGTTTAATGCACATCTATATGCATTGCTGATAAGCCCGTGAAACAGGCTCTATCCTGAAGAGAATTCTAGTGTGATGAGGGCTACTCAGGATATCCATAAAATGTGGTGACTTAGATAATGTACACGTAATTTCATCAGGAGAATCTGCAATTGGTTAAAAGGAAAAAGGTGATTTTTTTAAGGCTTTTTGGGCATTTGAAGGAAAAGTGAAGCGACAGTTTGAATGTCCTGTGTTTAGTTGTGTGATGGTAGAATGGGGTTCCATGTGAACAGCTGGCCGTTGGGTGGAGTTCACAAGAGCTTTGATTGAAGTAACCTTGCCTATCAAATGAGTCCAGAAGGATACGGAGAGCTCAATCTATGAAGAATGTTCTGGCCAGAAGGAAGAACATATACCAAGCCTGGAGCCCAGACAAAGATGGCATACTCAGGAGCTGGAAATACTACCATGTGATTGAAGTATAGAACTCTCAAAAGGAGTGTTGTAGAATATTAGGACAGGAGACGAGCAGGAGGCCGATTGTGAAAGAGTTTTTAAACCCAGGCTCAAGAATTTAGGGGGTCACTGAGGGAGCTGTTGGAGGAATTTTGGCAAGGAAATGACATGATCACAGTTTTGCTTCAAAAGATGATTTGGTCCGTGAGATCAAGCAGATTATATTTGGCTGTCAAATCGAGGTATTGTATGACAGGAGAGAGACCCATTGCATTCATCGAAAGCAACAGCATGGTGGCCTGGATGAACAAAGGAGACATGAAGATAGGTGAGGGAATCTAGAAATATTTCGCAGGTGGATTTGATGGTTCCTTTGATGTGTCGGCTGGGAGAGAGTGGAGGAAGCCATTGAGGTGCTCGGCTTGGGCTACCTGCTGTCTCACAGAGAAGGGCATGAAGTTGTGTTGCTCAGGAGAAACACATGAACAGAGTTTAGCAAGTGGCAGCATGTAAACAGTGCTTGTAGCCGTGTGGAGGGTGAGATGGCTTGGCAAGAGTGTGGAGTAAGAAGAAAAGAGTTGTTTAAGGCGGAGGTGAACAACCCACAAAGGAATGGCCAGCAGGAAGCAGGGAACTAGTGAGGTCAAAGTGCCTTGTATTGCATAGAGAGAAAGAAGGGACCTGTCTCCAGGGACAGATGTTGCTGGGACACCCAGATGGAACTGGGAAATGTGCTCACAGGATTTAGTAATGTGGAGGTCTTCAGGATGTTTGGCGAGAGTTTAGAGGCATGATAGAGGCAATGAGTGAGCTTAGAAGCAAGTCACCAGTGAGGCTGTATGAATGGTTCTTGGGCACATTGAGTTATGAAGAGAAAGAAGGGTAGTTGCTCTCTGCAGGGTGCTCAGGAGTTAATGAGACACCTGAGTGTATCAGGGGGCCTTGGAAAGTTAGAGGACAAATGGTATCAAGAGGTAATGTGAAATTTCTGTGAGCATTTGGAATCTCCCAGGTATTTATATGAATATGAAAAGAAGGCAAGATAAAGCTTAAATGGTTGGCTCAAGAGGAGATAATAAAAGCCAACCTTTCAGCGCCCGGTACTGTGGCCTAGTAGTGAAATCCTCACCACTTATCCACCAGGATCCCATGCGGGCACTGGTTCGTATCCCAGCTGCTCCACTTCCCATCCAGCTCCCTGGCTTGTGGCCTGAGAAAGCAGTTGAGGACAGCCCATAGTCTTGGAACTCTGCACTCAGAGGCCCAAAAGAAGCTCCTGACTTCATATCGGCTCAGCTGTGGCCGTTGCAGCCACTTGGGGAGTGAACCAGCGGATGGAAGATCTTTATGTCTTTCCCTTCTCTCTGTGTATCTGCTTTTCCAAAAAAAAAAAAAAAATAAATCTTTAAAAACAACAAAGCCCTGACTTTTCAGAGATCTGTAGGCAGGCGATGCAGAGTCACAGCGAGGAGATTGTTCTTTTCTGCTGTCCTGGATGAGGCAGAGGGACAGTCAGAGCAAGTCCAGCTAGCCAAGAAGCCTGGCAGCAGGAAGCTGAGGATCTCCCCGTGTGAAAGTCTTCTGTTTTCTGTGGACAGTTGAAGGAGACTCCTGGTGATGCAGTTAACAGCCAAAGGGGATAAAGTTGAGAGCTGGCATTCTGGAAACCCAGGAGTCAGCTGAGTATTACAGAGCAGCATCCACCTGCAGGAGTGCAATTTGTTTTGTGGGTACACTCAGCAGTAAGGAGGTACATACTGATGTGCTAGGATAAGAAGGGGACAGCTAAGCAAGACAAGTAAGGATTTTGGCAAAAAGAGTGCCAGATGTACTGAGTATGACTTAAGAGAAGTTGTGAATTCATGTGCTAGCTGGTCATTAGGAAGGAGAGTGCTTGAGGGGCTAAATGTGTCAGGGAGGTGGAGGAAGATAGGGAAGAACCACGAGACCAAACAAGTTGCTGTCAGAACAAAGTAGAGCTAGACGCCATTTCAAAAGTGGGACGCTTCTGGGTAAATAGGTGTAGAATGCTTGAGCAGCTGGCAGCTGTGGAATAGGAATGAATTTCTATATAGATGAAATAGGAAAGTAGGGAAAGCATTTCGTTTTGCGGTTGGAAAGCTGATCAAGACATCTGTCCCACATTAGAGTGTTGGGTTAGATTCCCTGCTGTGCCTCCTGACTCCAGCTTCTAGCTGATGTGTGGCTTGGGAAGCGCTGATGATTGCTCAGGTAGTTGGCTTCCCATCCATCACCTGTGTGCTTCAGCCTGGTGTCACTGCAGTTATCTAGCAGTAACTAAGAGGGTGGGAGATTTCTCTGGACTCCCCGCCCCCTCAAATCAATGTTTTTTTTTTTTAAAGAAGAAATTAAGGAACTAATCAGAATGATGAACATGTCATTATGTCTATATTTAAACCATCTGAAATTGGGGTTAGAACTGGAGAAGACAAAGAGCTGTGAATCCAGTAACCAGATCTTCAGGAATGAAGAAGTTTGGCCAGAGGGCACTGCACAGTGTAGCAGTAAGATCTTTTTGGTAAGATTTATTTATTTGAAAGGAAGAGTTAGGGAGAGACAAAGAAGGTGCTGCCATCAGCTGGGCCTGGCCGAAGCCAGGGAGGTGTGGAGCTTCGTCTGCTCTCCCATGTGAGTGAAGAGGCCCAAGGATTTATACCATCTCCCAGGTCATGAGCGGGGAGTTGGATCAGGAGTAGCCAGGAGTTGAAGCAGTGCTCACAGGTGATGACTTTACCTGCTGTGCCGTCATGCCAGCCCCAGCAGTAAGATCTTTAAGGGGTTATTACATGGAGATGCCTTTCTTCTTCATCTTGTTATCTCCAGTGTTTAGCACAAAAGCTGGCAGAAGTTTAGCCCAGTGTTTTCCTGGAATGAATGCATGAGTGAAAGTAAATCGACGCTCCCATTTCCTTATAGCTTATAGCCTAAATTGTTCTTCAGCTGCATAGCTGCCAAGTTTAAATAGTTTAGAGCTCCAAAGGCCTAGGATTTGCTTAGGGACCTGTTAGTGTACCATTGCCAAGACAAAGCAGTTTGAGGTAGGACAGGGTCCAACCTGTTCTCATCCTGCCCCATCCAGGAACAGTACTTGCCTTCAGTAAAAGGGTACTTGTGAATTGCTTATTATAATTGGTTCCAGCACATTAGTGTTAAACCCTGAGCTCTGAAATGTAGGTGACATGGAATATCTTGTGAGGACTGTGACCGTCAGTGTAAGCCTTGTTCTGTTTTCTGCTTAAGAAGCAATTCTATACGTATATTTGGGGTTTTTGTTTCTCATTGCAACTTACATTAAAATTTCTGGTAAACATTTGGGAAATGGGTAAGGTAGATACTAAATAAAATGCTGGCCAGTTGAGGCGACAACTTTGACACAGGTAAGCTCTGTGATATTTCACTTTTAAACAGGTGTGAAATTTTCAAAATTTCCCCTCTGACTTTACTCCCATGAAAAACTTCAGGTAGTATATTTACAGTAAATACTGACTTCTCACGAATGCTAGAAGGCTGCCATTTGTACTAAGAATATTGAGTGAAGAGTTCGCAGTGTGTTCATTATTGAAAGCGTGTCATCACATTGCTTAACTAACTTGTTAGCAGATAATTTAAGAATTTCCTGTTAACTTTGTTTGCTTAGGTTTATCTTCAAGCCTTTTGGCCTTGCTGTGCTTGCAAAGTGATGGGAAAGGACTATTGTCTATAGTACAGGCAAATAAAACTTGTCCTGGCTAGCTTTTTCTACAAAGGCTACTTTGAACTTTTTGGGAAAAAAAAAAGTAGTCCTGTCCTTTTATTTCTTTTAAAAGATTTATTTATCTGAAAGACACAGAGAGAGGGATCATTCTTCAGCTGATTGGGGCAGTGCTGGGCAGAGCCGCAGCCAGGAGCCAGGAGCTTTCTCTAGGTCTCCCACATGTGTATAGGGGCCCAAACCCATGACCACTTTCCACTGCTCTCCCA